CAATCAGGGAACTCACTCATCACATCAAAGGCAGGTATGAGACTCTCAATGGAGTCTAATTGACTCAAGAAAGAGCCAATCAGGGAACTCACTCATCACATCAAAGGCAGGTATGAGACTCTCAATGGAGTCTAATTGACTCAAGAAAGAGTCAATCAGGGAACTCACTCATCACATCAAAGGCAGGTATGAGACTCGCTATGGAGTCTAATTGACTCAAGAAAGAGCCAATCAGGGAACTCACTCATCACATCAAAGGCAGGTATGAGACTCTCTATGGAGTCTATTTGACTAAAGAAAGAGTCAATCAGGGAACTCACTCATCTCATCAAAGGAAAGTATTAGACTATCAATGGAGTAAGACTTTCATATCACAGCCCCACTCACTGGAGATTCAATAGGGATTCAGTATCACACTCTCAATTAGAAAAGTCAATCAAGAGACTCATCACATCACAGCCAGTTATCAAACTTTCAATTGAGTCTGTTAGACTCTCAGAAGAGTCAGAAAACTAGAAAACTCACCACATCACAACCTGTTATCAGACTCAATTGAGTCCATTAAACTCACTGAAAAGTCAATCAGAAAACTTACCACACCAAAACCAGTTATCAGACCACCAAATGAGTTTGCTTTATTCCCAGGAGTCAAATTGGGTGACTATCAATTCAGTCTGTTAAAGACTCAGCATGGAACTTAACTCATTCACCACCGAAATTTCATAAAGAACCATTCAACCTTTGAGTTGGAAGAGTTCAAATGTGTCTTCAGGGGTGAATGAGTTCGGCAAAGTTAGCATTCTGTTAATGGAGACTGTGGACTCTCAACGAGTCTCAGCAGAGACAGACGATTGACTGTACGGAGACTGTCAGTGGACTGGCAGTGTACCCAGGAAGTCTCTGTAGAGTCAGAGTCTGTTAGAAGTCACAACAGTTCTGACCATTGACATAACATGAAAAACACTGACCTGAACAGCAGGAATCCAAGGGAGGTCACCGCTACTCTTCTTACATCATCGTTTACGTCACTGACCTAGAAAACAACAGGTAATTAGAGATAGCTGGAGAACAGCTGAAACCATAATAAGGCAATTGCATTCTGAAAGCCAATTACTTCCATCACAGATACATAAAATATTTTCTTCCCTGCATTATTTTCATGATATTTTTGATTGAAACAGACTTGATATCAATTAGGTGTGTTTTCAGATGTTTTCAAAGCAGCAAACTCTGTATTAAGCAGTCAATAAACACGCATTGGATACCTAATTTACTTCAGAAGCGTCTTCAGGCCAAAAATGCACGCAACCTGGTTCTACTTTAATCAATTTAAAAAAAAAAAAAATCTTATTACTCAAACTTCACATTTTGACATGACTTTGCACAAGTTACTGTATACACCCGGAATTTTTCGCCCCGTTAACCTTTTGCCCATCGCCGATAAAATCCATTTTGCCCAGTTTCGTTTCGCCCTTAACATTTAATCACTACGTTTATAATGTTGTTTACTAATGTTTGCTGTAATGATAAGTTTGCCGAGGGCAAAACAAGGAGAAAAATTAAACTGCAACTAAAATTTCCCAGCATACAGTATTACCTCACCTTAAACCAGTTACTAAGTCTTGCTCAGCACCAATAACAACCACATTTAGCACACTTTACTGTCTCTATTAGCACCATTTACAGGCTCAACAGCACCATTTACCAACACACTTAGCATACATTATGACTTCATTTAGCACCAGATACCACTAGCACTGCACTTACAGGGATAATCCTGGAGGGGGTATGCATGGGGCCATTGACCCCTCAAAACTGAAATTAACCCCCCCCCCCCATGTTCTAATTTTCTATTAATTTTACATAGAATGGCCCCTCATAATTTTGATATTGACTAAAAATTGCTGAAAATGACCCACTGCTCTCAAATTCCAGGATTTCCCCTGCACTTATCAACCATACTTACCCCCAGTTATCACTGACTTAGCACACAAACTTAGCACCAGTTATTTCTCCATCAGTAACAATCCCACTTAGCATCGCCGTTTTATAAAGTTCACATATAAACTTTCTGCGGTCAAAATAAGGTCAATTTTATTATCAAAAGAGTTAATTGATAGAAGTTGTTCTACAGACTTCATTTCTTTTCCGATTGTCACAAAACTTCAAAAACATGTTCACAGTCATCACCTATTGTATGAGCTTGCGTTTCGTCCTTCCGAGGTTAAAAAATAGTTAAATGTTACTATAAAAATTAGTTCAATGTTACTATGAAAATTAGTTCAATGTTACTATAAATAGAGTTTGATAGAATTTTGAACGTCATCACTCTTCAGGCTTCATTTCTTTTCCAATTGTCACGAAACTTCACATACATGTTCACAAGCATCACCTCTTGAATAAGTTCGTGTATAAATCTTCTGTGGGCAAAATAAGGTCACTATTACTATAAATAGAGTTTGATAGAAGTTGGTCTACAGACTTCATTTCTTTTCCAATCATCACAAATCTTCACAAACATTTTCACAATCACCTCATGTAAGAGCTTGTGTTTTGACCTTCTGAGATAAAAAAATGTTTAGGTCAATGTTACTTTTAAATAGAGATTGATAGAAATTGCTCTATAATCGTAACGAAACTCTGCACACATGTTCACACACACCTCCCCTTGTTTGTGTTTCGACCTTCTGAGGTAAAAGAAACTTCACATTTCTTATAACTTTGAAGTCCGAGGGTATTCGTATCATCTGTGGTGCCTTGTTTGTTTTAGTGTTTCCTTTCTAAGACTCCATGGTAAACCTCTTTATACTGCCAGCCTTGTTTTTCATCAAAGATGGCAGTATAACAAGGTTAAATCCAAGTTTAAAATATACTTCATAAAACATTCAAACATAATATAAGATTGGCTGCACGGGGAAAAGCAGTCACTTATAATTTCAGCCTTTATTTCTGTTTTTATCAAAACAAAAAAAATTAAAATGATGAATATGTAAATATTTTAATATATCCAGTCTTGATAGCACATCTATGAAGTTTAGTAATCATAAGTTACAAGCTGGACAAGATGTTAACAGACAGACATACATACAAAAAGACAGACGGATGACAAAATCATTGACTATATCCCTCTATTTATGTATGTTAAGACTTTAAAAGGTCAGTCAATACCACTTTTTTTTAATTTGCTGTCCCTGCATGTAGGCAGTCAACACCCCTTTTAGATAGAGAATCATGTGAGCTTACATAAACCTATCAACTTTTGTCTATAATAAGGACAAAGTCCTGTCAGTGGTCAACCTTGATAAATAGTAGAAGGACATTAAAGAAGGTATTGGTCAATCATCATCAAAGCATTGGTGGTCACAATCTAATCACTTAGTTATACACGAGAAAATCCACTCCACTCCGATACAAGAGGTCCCTATGGCTCTCCAGAAACAATCACGGTGTCGCAATCTGATCACCACGTGTCAGAGTTATTAGGATATGCACTGCTTACATAGTTCTCCTTCACTCTCTACGGACAGACAATCCTTGAGTAGAAAAGGTCAGAACTGTCCGGCAGATGAATGTTATAAACATCAGACCTAGTGAGCTTGAGGTAAGTGAGTACCTGGGGACTAACTTGTGGATTGTAATTGGTTTAAACAGTACCAGAATATACTCGCCAATCTCACATCATTGGGGTGATGCTTAAGTACAAAAACACTGACACCGGTACAGAAACCTGATGATTCCCAAAGTACATTTCAACTATAAATTATACACTAAATCAATAACTCTACAATCCCCATACAAAAACACACTAACTACTATCACAAACCTCAAATAGCCAATACAGACAGGTTCTACAGTACAAATAAATCAATGTCACTATAGACAGGTTCTATAGTACATGTACAGAGATCTCATTTATAGACAGGTTCTACAGTACATGTATATACATGTCATTAAAGACAGGTTCTACAGTAGGTACATATATGTCACTAAAGACAGGTTCTTCAGTACAGGTATATAGATGTCACTATAGACAGGTTCTATATTACAGGTATATATGTGTCACTAAAGAGAGGTTCTACAGTACATGTATAAATGTCACTAAAGACAGGTTATACAGTACCGAGGTATATCAATGTCACTATAGACAGGTTCTACAGTACATGTATGTCACTATAGACAGGTTATACAGTACATTTGCATGTTAATATAGACAGGTTCTATAGTACTTGTATATAGATGTCATTATAGACAGGTTATATAGTGCAGGTAGTACATATATGTCACTATAGACAGGTTATACAGTACATGTATACAGAAGTCACTATAGACAGGTTATATAGTACAGGTACATAGATGTCACTATAGACAGGTTCTATAGTACAGGTACATATATGCCACTATAGACAGGTTCTACAGTACATGTATATAGATGTCAATATAGACATGATCTACAGTACCGGTATATAGATGTCACTATAGACAGGTTCTAGAGTACAGGTGCATAGAAGTCACTATAGACAGGTTCTACAGTTCAGGTATATAGATGTCACTATAGACAGGTTCTATATTACAGGTATATATGTGTCATTATAGACAGGTTCTACAGTACAGGCACATATATATCACTATAGACAGGTTCTACACAGTACAGGTAGATATGTCATTATAGACAGGTTCTACAGTACATGTACATAGATGTCACCATAGACAGGTTATACAGTACATTTGCATATGTCAATATAGACAGGTTCTATAGTACTTGTATATAGATGTCATTATAGACAGGTTATATAGTGCAGGTAGTACATATATGTCACTATAGACAGGTTCTACAGTACATATATAGATGTCACTGTAGACAGGTTCTACAGTACATGCACACATATATATATATATATCACTATAGACAGGTTCTACAGTACAGGTATATATGCCACTATAGACAGGTTCTACAGTACATGTTTATAGATGTCAATATAGACATGATCTACAGTACAGGTATATAGATGTCACTTAAGACAGGTTCTACAGTACAGGTACATAGAAGTCACTTTAGACAGGTTCTACAGTTCAGGTATATATGCCACTATAGACAGGTTCTACAGTACATGTATATAGATGTCAATATAGACATGATCTACAGTACAGGTATATAGATGTCACTTAAGACAGGTTCTACAGTTCAGGTATATAGATGTCACTATAGACAGGTTCTACAGTACAGGCACATATATATATCACTATAGACAGGTTCTACAGTACAGGTATATATGCCACTATAGACAGGTTCTACAGTACAGGTACATAGATGTCCCTATAGACAGGTTATACAGTACAGGTACATAGATGTCACTATAGACAGGTTATATAGTGCAAGTACATAGATGTCACTATAGACAGGTTATACAGTACATGTACATAGATGTCACTATAGACAGGTTAAACAGTGCAGGTACATAGATGTCACTATAGACAGGTTATACAGTACAGGTACATAGATATCACTATAGACAGGTTATAAGTACATGTACATAGATGTCACTATAGACAGGTTACACAGTACATGTACATAGATGTCACTATAGACAGGTTATACAGTACAGGTACATAGATGTCTGAGACAGGTTTTAATTTTGGTTCCTTTCCAAGTTGAGTGGTTTGGTAATTATTTCCAATCACTATGATATAGAGTAACAGATGTATTTCAGTGAGGATTGGTTATGATACCAGACGAGAGGGTTGGCGAGACGGTTAGCGAGCGGTTATGATAGAGAGCAGGCTGATGCCACACAGAATTAATATCAAACATGATCTACCGTTTGATCATAGGAGTTAAGGACACCATTCATTCTGATAGAATTGGTAAATATTAGGAGTATGATGTCTAAATTGCTGAGTGTAATCTCAGAAATGTGTCCGCCTCTCACAACACATTATCACAAATACAGAACATAGATCCTAGTTCCTACACCTGGACAAGACTATCAAAACGAAAGAGTTCACGAAAGTTTAAGTCACAACCTACGTCAATTGGTGTAAATTGGTGGTGTAAATGACTGTTTTAAAAGTTCAGGCTCGTGATGGACTGCATTATCACCGGCCCGTACATAGAGTAGCAATGAAATCAGAACAAGAACGACAGATGATAACAATACAGGAGTGATGTTATTGCCTATAACAACAATGTACCATATTTGTATAATCTAAATTAGTGTAGAACAAATGTCTGAAGCAATATTGCGGGTTTGACCTTTGACCTTCTGACCTTTAACCCAATCATAAGATCAAGGAATCGTATGAAGTCTCAGCAAGCACATGTACAGGAAGTCAAACGGATTACATCTAAATAGGATGCTTCTCGTAAATATAGCATTCTATATAAACAAACGATTGCAGAGGTTCATAGCTCTGTTAGGAATTTGAAGAACTACACGCAAAGCATATATATGCATAATTATAAGAACTTGTGAAAGTTTTCTTCAATAGGTTTCATCAGTTTGGAAATATATAGTGTCAAAGTTTGTCCCTTTGTCAAGCTATGACTGAGTGACAGTATTGTTGACTTGTGAAAGTTGCTTGAAAGATTCAAGAATGATTATCGTTAGGAGATAATGTGAACCAAGAAGGATTGTGAAACAAAAAAAGTTTTCCTTAGCTAATGTGAATCAAGAAATATCTAATTTTCTATAGATAATGTGAAACAAGAAAGATTTTCATTAGCTAATATGTGAATCGGTAGGTTGCTTGGTTTACGGGTTTATCGCCTACATGATTCCACCCATGTGGGTTTCGTCTCACTGATGGAGGTCGGTGTTGTGTCGTTGGGGTGGGGAGGAGTCGCCTATACTATATCCTATCCTTAGTTTCCTTAGATTTTTAATGAAATTTTGGGAGACGACACCTTGGTCCGAAATGGTTGGTAGGTGTGTCACGCCAGTTGCTGCAACTTTGTCGGTTGTTCCTTACTAGTGTTTTTGTATCGTGGGAGGGTGATCAAAAGGGTCAAAAAGGCTTATAACAATAATCCAGATAAAAATTATAAAAAAAAATCAAAATTATTATCTTTATATACCCTGGTACTGTGACTCAAGAAATATCTTTAGATAATGTGTATCAAGATGAAAACATCTTTACACGATAATGTATACATTATCTACAACATATTCAGTTGACTGTAAAACAGTTCCTGTAAGTATTCATTTTAGTGTAATTCAAAAGACTAATCACTAATAAATGAAATTTCCCAAAACAAGAATAACTGCATACCATGTCTTGAAAACTTATCTTCTTTTTATAGTTTAATTCTCAATTCATTCATCTGGCGAAATAATGTGAACCCTCTCAATATCAGTGAAATAAAGTTTATTCCTGTTACTGGTATTGTTACAATTCAACAACCAATTCCCAACCCCCCCACCCCCACATACTCAAAAACAAATCAACCTTAAGACTTTCTAATTTTCTAAATTCATGTTGTTATTGAATTCACTTTCATTTCCTTTTCCGACACTTTTAAAGTTCAAATTTGAGCAAAAGCATTTTTTTTTTTAAACTTTTTTCATTAATGAAATTAGAAATATTGTCACAAAAATCAATACCTTGGCTAATACAAAATGTAACTACAATGGGAAACTTTGTCGAGAAAACATCAGTGTAACATTAATTTGTCTGAGAAGTTGTAGCCTATAATTTCACTTGTTCAAACCTTAATTACTTTCTTTTAATTATATTACGAAACACTCATCACATTTTTTTTCCCTACTTCATTAGCAAGTTTTGAAAATTAATTTGAATTTGTGTGACACAGTTCTCACTGTAAAGGAACTAATAAGATGAAGTCAAAGTGCCTTCCTCACCTAGTAACACGTAGACCTGAAGGAATTTGTTTATACTGAGTATCATAGACTTAGCATTAAAACGCTTCTGTTACACTGTGTTAATCTCATTGCTCTGTAAAACTAAAACTTTGAACAACCTAACTATTGTTCAAATTACTGCAAAGATGTTAAATTTCGCAATTTTGTGTCCGAAACTTATTCGCACGGGTTTGAATTCGCGAATCACAATTTCTGTATGTCTATTTCGGAAAACCTGGCAAAGATCTGTTAGCTTTTATATATATAGTATACTTCTTTCAAAACGTGTTTTGACCTAGAAGCCTCAGCTCAACTGATATCACGGACGTGTGAAGCGTGGATGTTATAGCGACAACCTCAAAATATTCACGAGGGTTTTAATTTCGCGAATTTTGATGTAAAATTAAAAGCCTCGTGAATATTAGCAACTGCATAATAATTATCAACTATCCAACTGATAAGCATATATCGATGTAAACTTCTATGATTTTATATTCAAAGATCCTGTCCTGCACTATGCTTTTTTCAAATATATAGCAACATCCCCTTAATTTCCGTTCGAGTATAACTATAGCACAGTTGGGCCCTGACACATCCATTGACCAGGTAGCTCAATCCGTTGGAGTGATAGTATAACAATCTGAAGTCCAGGATTTGAATCTCGGTCTAGCTTCTATGATAGATTATCAAAGCTACTGTCATGTCGGGGAAAAAACGGTCCCCAACACTTAAAGTTACAGTTTCTGACAGTAGTACGGGATTCCTTAATTACTGCTGATGTGATATATGTATCAGATAAAGTAATTAGTGAGTGCAGACTTAAATAAAGAATTGTCCTTTTGTTTGTCAAATCCAATACAGTAACACAAAATGTGTTCAGTCAAATATTCTTTTAACGATCTCTTATTCACCAAGCTAATTTTTTTCTGCATGCTTTTAAATCTAATTTTTTTCTGCATGCTTTTAAGGCTATTTTTTTTCTGTATGCTTTTAAGGCTATTTTTTTCTGCATGCTTTTAAGGCTATTTTTTTTCTGCATGCTTTTAAGGCTAATTTTTTTCTGCATGCTTTTAAAACTGAATATCAAAATCGACAAATTGCATCCAATGGAATGTATGAACTTTTGTAGCATCAAGTAATATAAGTTACCTCATTTGTAACCTCGACAAATGTTTGCGGTCATTATATTTAGGGGCAGCAAAATTCAGAACAGAAATTCTGACTATTATATTAATGGAAACACTAGTTTAGAGCCGATACTGTATCATTCAGCTCTCACTTTCTGCATTTCAAGACAGTTAGGTTTGTAGTATTCCTTGACTAGAAACATTTGCTGCTGAATTTGCAACCTTACACCAATCAATACCCCTGCCACCAATATAGCCCTGTATATAGTAGACTGGAAATAACGAACTGCTAGTTTTATGTTTCCTACACGTTCCTCATAGATATGATTTTAAGTAGTCTGACCTTCAAAGTCCCTACAAGTTGTCCAAGATAGACAACCCCAAACTCTATAAACTGATCCTCTGAAGAACAGCATCATTTGATCATGATTAGTTTCTAAAACTCATGGGTCATTTTTATTAGCTTGTTCAAAGGGGTTTGGGCATTTTGGAAGCGAGACCCTGGGAGGAAATTATGAAAAATAAATTTCATTTACATCAGAACTTTTTTTAGGAAATTTGGATGATGATTATATTATATCAATAATAATACCCATGTTGTCATAAATGTAAGCTTAAATTAAAGTTAAACATAAACGGTCTAATTTCAAGATTTCAGAATTATTATATGAAGTGATTATCTAATTATCTGTCGCACCAAGATTCTAGTCATAGTAACAGTGACCCTGGTCCTGACCGCAGAAATTTGGAAACACAAACTTGTACGAGGGATGTAGTTTGTGTTATGTGATGTTTGTTAAATATCAGAATAAGAATTTAAGACTTTAGAAGTTGTTTTAAAGAAGATGGAAACACACACTCATACAAGTATGAATGTTAAAGAACATGTATGTAAAGCTTCATGACAATCAGATAAGAAGTCAACAACGCAAAACTTGTAATTATAGCAGTGATGACCTTGTTTTTTACCTCAATGTCTAAAACACAAAACTTGTAATTATAGTAGTGATGACCTTGTTTTTTACCTCAATGTCTAAAACACAAAACTTGTAATTATAGTAGTGATGACCTTGTTTTTTACCTCAATGTCTAAAACACAAAACTTGTAATTATAGTAGTGATGACCTTGTTTTTTACCTCAATGTCTAAAACACAAAACTTGTAATTATAGTAGTGATGACCTTGTTTTTTACCTCAATGTCTAAAACACAAAACTTGTACGTGACATGATACTTGTAAACACATGCAGTGCCAAGACAGTGGGATAGGTATGAAGATCAATATTTCAACAAACCTTTTTTACAGTAAGAGTGATCTTGTTTTGTACCCAGGAGGGTTGAAATGTGAACTCGTACAAGTGACGTTGCTTGTGCACATACATATGAATTTTTCAGATAAGAAATGAAGTATTTGTCTCCTGGATAACCAAACTCCTCGATAGTGAAGCCGACGTTAAACCACTCAAACAAACAACGAATGCAGTCTATAGAGAGATGACATCTTCATGATCAGGCCCCCATACATGTGTATGCATGAGCAGATCTCTTTACCCTCGACAGCTTATCATCAGGGTATAATCAACAGAAATACAGTTCTGCTCAATTTTATTTAGTTCAGTAACAACAATTACTCTGATTTACATTCAGCCAAAAAAAATGAATATTTTAATCTATGAGCTAAAATAACTTCTTTTAAAAACTTTTGATTTTTCAATTCAAGCTGTTCTTTTCCCCCTTTTTAATTAAGATTTGGTACTGAACTGTGTGCTATGACCCCATACTGGGCAGTATATTTAGACTAGGTTCTCGGGCAATATGATGTATCTGTTTTCAGTTCACTCATTCACCCCTACACATTTAAATTGGACTTGTCCAGTCGTTGATTTGGTAAGGTTCAAATGTGACTTTAGGGGTGAATGGTTAAGTTCCTGAGAGATGTACTTACTGCCACATGTAGGAGCCTCCTGATGGCCTGGTTGTTAGCCGAGCCACAATACGCCATAGCAATGGTAAACATGCCGGACCATCTGAGGATGGGGTCCTTGTCCCGACACAGACTTTCAATGAGAGTGTCAGCCTCCTCAAGTCGACCGTACATCGTCAGAGAGATCCCCACGGCAAGGCCACGCAGGATCTTCTCGTGTTGTGTCTCCTTGGCGTACTGTAAAATACACAAGGTTCGTTAAGGTTACGTAAGTTTGATGTTTAATAATCACAAATAGTGACACTAAACTGTTGTCCGAATTATTTCATTTCAACAAGAACAAAATTCTCTAACTGAAATTATTTTACACTCAGTTTCTCAGCAAAAGCAATAGAGAGTATTTGTCTGGATAATCAGGAAGGTTGATGTCTGGACAAATGAGGGTCAGAATCGGGACAATAGAGAATTGACCTCTCGACAAGTGAGGGTCAGAATCTAGACAATAGAGAAGGTTGGTGTCTGGACAAATGAGGGTCAGAATCTGGATAAAAGAGAAGATAAGTATCTTTGCAATTAACAGGGTTGGTGTCTGGTGGCCAGAGTGGTTAAGAGTTGGAACAAGATGCTCAGTGTTGGGACAATAGAGAAGACAACTATCTGGGCAATATACAGGGCTGGTGTCTGGTGGTCAGAGAGATTTAGAGTTGGGACAAGATGGTCAGTGTTAGGACAATAGAGAAGACAAGTATCTGTGCAATATACAGGGCTGGTGTCTGGTGGCCAGAGAGATTTAGAGTTGGGACAAGATGGTCAGTGTTAGGACAATAGATATGGTCAGTGTCTGGACAATAGAGAAGATAAGTATCTTGGCAATATACTGGGTTGGTGTCTGGACACCAGAGGGGTTCAGAGTTGGGACAAGATGCTCAGTGTTAGGACAATAGATACAGCTAGTATCTGGACTATTGATATTGTCTGGACAATAGACACACATTAGATTGTGTTCTGTTATATACCCTAGTGATGAATTAGTTACAAACAGGTGATAACATGTATCTATATTATATTTATAACCATCACTATTTGTTTCTCAGTGATCTTTTAAACATTAATGTCATACACTACACTCATACATTCACATTAATCGCTTTAATGAACAGTGCTACACACAGCTATTACTTCCTAAATGATTACACAGTTTTTTTTTAGAGGTACATCTAAATATAAATGAGAGCAAACACTTAAGAGACTTAACAGCCGTACTGTTTACACTAGTGTATTGAGTGCTAATTATATCTTCATGATTTGTCTCCGTTTGATTGAGACAGGGTCAATATTTACTGCAGAATATGACTGGTGTGTAAACCCTTGGTTGACATTGGGATATGACCTTGACCTACTTACCGAGACCATGTCCCCGATGGCGGTGGCCGACTTTGTTCCCAGCATCACCAGACCCATGGCAAGACCAGCCGCCTCACCTGGGTAAATACAGACGTCTTACTATTGACCACATGTTCAGTTTAACAAGCAAAATCAATAAAATGTATTAAATATACATTTCAAACCCAATATACACATTTAACAAAGTTTGACTGTGATCACTAGAAAAATAACATCTCTTCAGTTGAGTATAGATCTGTCAAATGTCTAAAAAGCATAAATCTTTAACTACAGTAAAACCTTGTCATACTGCCACCATCTGTCGTGCACATTTCGATGTTAACCCTTTCACCCCCATGTAACTTTTGTAGACTCTACCATGCATTGATTTGGATGAGTCCATTATGGTCTACAGTGGTGAAAGGGTTTAGTACTTTGGTGATGAATCAAGTCAGACATATACAGGTACTTCATGCAAAAGAGAGCATGAAATATGTTGACAGTAAATGAAGAGGCAACTTCTACATACCTGTTACAGCATCATCTTGGTATAAGTTAAATTTAAGTTGTTCATAAACATCTGAAATGAACAAAACATCTTTATATATTACAGTCACAGGTGTTTTTATCATAACAGCATTAAGTCCATCCCTATCTTTAGTTTTAGTTGTGTCTGAACAATCAAAAGCATGGTTTTCCATGATTTACACAATAAAGACTATTTTATTAATTTTATTAATTTATTATTTTTTATTCTTCCGTCTACGAATGCTAAAAGCTTTAATATAAACCTAGATGGTAACAAACTTTTAACTTGTAAGGCAGAGAGTGTTTGTCTGACCACTTAGCGTAATTCGAACAGGACAGACATTATTTATCTAATTTTGTTCAATCTGACCGGAGGTTTACCGTACCTTGTCTAGCTGTTCCCATAGCAGCCAATCCGACACCTAAACAGCCTCCATGTCTCACCATCTGTAAAAATATAGTATGAACATTACTCAAGTCACTTAGGTTTTATGAGTGATTAAAACCTACATCTGTCGCAGAAGATTTCTTTTACCTGACTAGTGTGTGTCAACAGAAAAATACAGTGAGTAACTTATATCTGATATAAACCTTGTTATACTGCCAGGATTTGTCAAGAGAACTGTTGGCGTTATAAAGGGGTTTGGCAATAAACCGAGGGAAATATATTGCGGAATTCTTAAGAAAACGAGAGAAAAGATATTGAAAATGTTGGCGTTAAACCAGGTTGCAAATGAAACGAAGGGCATTATATCGAAGTTTTACTTTTACTGTAATTAATAAAACGAATGTATATTTCAGTATATTTTAGTGGATATTTATGTTCCATGTCTTGAAATAAAATGTCTTTTAATTATGTATAAATATAATGATGAGATAATGTTACGCTACGTAAAGAAAACATAACTTACATCTGTTGATGCATCTTTCAGCTGATTTAATAAATAATCTGTAATCTCTCCTCCATGGTTTGCATGTATCAAACCTGAAACGCACAATAAATGGCTGTCAGATTAGGAACCAGTTAAACTAAGAAATCATACCTAAATCATTGTTTAAAGTTTCAAAAAGAGTAATTTTCAGAATATCAAAACATTAGTTTGTTTTCTTTCCTTCAGAATTTCATTTTAAAGCTTTCACACATACAATTCATGAATTGGTGGAAATAGGCAAAATGAATCAAGCTTTTTATATGTAGTATGATAACCACATATCATATCAAACTACAACCACAAGCATTCTGATCTCTTATTCAATTTCAATGGAACAATCTCTTATTCAATGGAACAATCTCTTATTCAATGGAACAATCTCTTATTCAATTTCAATGGAACATTCTCTTATTCAATTTCAATGGAACAATCTCTTATTCAATTTCAATGGAACAATCTCTTATTCAATGTCAATGGAACAAAGACTTTGACTTTGAATTTCTAAAGAAAGGAATGATAATAACATATAAAGTTCTTCTTCAAACTGGATTGTTATACAAAGAGAGAGTAAGGATACACATTTAAGGTCTTTCTAGATCTTTTTATAATGAAAATAAACCCAGCGAAACCAACTGGCTGAGAAAAGAAAATTCACATATTAACAAATAAATCCCATAAAATTGGGTCTTATAATCAATCAATCCTTTGCACAGCTTTCAACTTATGCTGAAAGTCTTTTAAATAGTTTTACTCATTTACCCCTTCATATTTGAACTGGACTTGCCCAGTCTTTGATTTGGTAAGGTTCAAATGTGACTTTAGGGGTGAATGGTTTAACACCAAGAGTTGTATACCTAAAGCATATAAACCGCCTCCTTCAGAGTAGGCTGATCCTGGCCCAGAATCTTTAGGTAAATATGTTGACATTAAATTTAGTGCTTCCTTCTCATGACCCTGAAAAAAACAAAAATAAAATGTTTAATACAAAGTATTGAAATTAATCCTTTAAATTTGTATTGTAAATCAATAAATATACATCTTGTAACTTCAATCAGCTACACTGACTTCAGTTTGATTAGGGGATGGTACTTTATACCTACAATAAATTGATGAATAGTTTTCTTTAGATTACAATCCACATAAAATTGATGATTCAATCACATTTCACAACATTTTTACTAAGATTTAGTACTACAACTGTACTGCCCAGAAAGAAAACGTTTAAAAATTCTACAAGCTAAGCCTATACATATTTCATAATGAATATGGAGTAATTTCTGTAGCCTTGACATAAATCTACAAGCCCCGGGGGACGGGTTTGTGGAATTGTACCCCTTGTCACTTCCTCACAAAACTCCATTACAGTGATGTATTCTATGTAAACACTATGGTATTTTCATTGTGCGCCTGCCCTGCAGGTAGGGCGTAAGAATTGTACCTGCTGCGCCCAATTGCATGATCGTAAGAGGCGACTAAATTTGGGACCTTATCTCTTCTCTCCTTTCTAAATAACTTTCTTTTTCCTAATGTCTCCCTTGACAATGCCTCACTTTTGGCCATTTGTTGAGCGTTCGCCCCTGTGAGGAAGGCTTTGGGTTCTGTCCCCTGGCCGAGACATACCAAAGTCTTTAAAAATGGCAGTTTCTACTCCTGCTTAACGCTCAGCAAATTAGGAGTGGGACGACTGGTTCGCCCGTTGTCAGTATAATGTGACCGGGTGGGGCGTCCTGCTGGGTGTCTTCGGCAGTATGTTTCAGTGAGGTAGCACTATAAAGTCGGGTTCAGTTCCGCGCTATTACAAGAAGACAAACACGAACATATCGCAGCCTCCCAAAATACACACACATACACTACATGCATGCATCTTGCACACAGGGGAGGCCGTCCTTAAATGACCTTAGCTGTTAATAGGACGTTAAACAAAATCAAACAAACAAAAAAACAATTCATTGTGCGCAAAGGCCATAAATCTAACATCAAATCAACTTAAATTCCCTTCCTCATTTCCTGGTAAGCAGATCTTCAATTTTCATTTTAAACTTGTTGATTTATTATTCAGACCAAAATTATGCAACTCTCTTAGGGATTTTCCTTTCCTGTACTCAAAGACATTTTTGCCTGAAAGATTGGACACAAATCACATATTATAAAATATCAACTACAAGTTTTCAATAAAATCTCAATAAAGCGATTTTGCTTATGACAATTACAGATGTTGAATTTAGAATTATTTACGACAAAAAAAATCAGCATCAGCAGGCAATGTGATTATGTCAGTGATTCAAGTCATGTTAGAAGGTGAAGGGGAGGTAACTTTTGTGATTCTCACCTTGTGTATCGTTCCTAAACTGGCGGTGGCTGAAAATTTGGCCCAATTTGTTGCTCTTGCCAACCATTCCAAATTATCTCTGTAACAAAACAAATATTTAATATTATTTCATTACTTTGTACTGTGGTTAGAAAGGGTAGGGGCTCTGGGCCATCAGTCAACACAAAAATGGCCCATTGAAATTTTGCAATTTTAGGAAATTTGTATGCAATGGCCGAATGGAATTAAAACTTTGCTAAAAATAACCCGAAATTAACTAATTGGCTTCAATGTTTTCCTGTAAACCACTTGTAACAGTAATCAGTGAGTTTTATTTTCCTGGTGTATTTCAATGCTTTATTTATTTATCTATTTCATCTTCCAACTACTGTACAATCCCTATTATTTGTGGGTAGTTACTCACCTGAGAAATTGATCACAGGTTGTTCCACAGTGCATGTATGAGTTAGCAATGACTGTAGCTGTATGGCATACAGAATTACGAACCGCTTCCTGTGAAGATAAATTTAAACATGTATGAGTTAGCAATGACTCTAACTATAATGGAAGCCGAGCTAAAAACAACTTCCTGCAGGGATAATATTAAGCATGTGCAAGCTAGTGATGACTTTGACTGTTTTGCAAGCCATGTTATGAACAGCTTCCTGTGAGGATACATAAAGACCGATGTGACAACCTAAACAAAACCTACTACAATATTTAATTTTCAGTTTTAAGTTTTCATTTCTTCCTATTCATCAACAATGTAGCAAAAGTTTGTAAATAAAAATCTTCTTTTCAAATGTATATAGTACTTTATTAACTTTTTGTTTATAGATATGTTGAAGAAAAAGAAAAAACAAGCCATTCATATTGATATGTCTCGCCTGTGTCCCGCTTTGACCATCAATGCACATATCAGAGAAACTAACTTAAACACAAAAACTTAATGTTGATAGAGATGCTGACAAAGGCAATGGAACACGACAGATAGGCCGCATCCAGCATTTGATGCATGGGTTGAGATGTACTACCCAAGATGCATCTATGGTACGAGTTTGGTTGGTCTAGCACTTATACTTTCAGTGAAATTAAGTTAAATGCAAAAAAATAATGTTGACGCCGCAAGAAAAGCAACACCGAGTCTTGCTTCTGCTACTTCCCGGCGAGACAAAACTATTTGTTTGAACCAATGTTTAATTAAAACAAAACTGAAGAAAAACAGGTCCAGGGTGTTATCCTAATCCTAGACAATGACTGATGTGATTTGTGTACATATTCAGGGTTATCCTGGACCCTGACCAATGTGATTTGTGTACAGATTCAGGGTTATCCTGGACCCTGACCAATGTGATTTGTGTACATATTCAGGGTTATCCTGGACCCTGACCAATGTGATTTGTGTACATATTCAGGGTTATCCTGGACCCTGACCAATGTGATTTGTGTACATATTCAGGGTTATCCTGGACCCTGACCAATGTGATTTGTGTACATATTCAGGGTTATCCTGGACACTGACCAATGTGATTTGTGTACATATTCAGGGTTATCCTGGACCCTGACCAATGTGATTTGTGTACATATTCAGGGTTATCCTGGACACTGACCAATGTGATTTGTGTACATATTCAGGGTTATCCTGGACCCTGACCAATGTGATTTGTGTACAGATTCAGGGTTATCCTGGACACTGACCAATGTGATTTGTGTACATATTCAGGGTTATCCTGGACCCTGACCAATGTGATTTGTGTACAGATTCAGGGTTATCCTGGACACTGACCAATGTGATTTGTGTACATATTCAGGGTTATCCTGGACCCTGACCAATGTGATTTGTGTACAGATTCAGGGTTATCCTGGACACTGACCAATGTGATTTGTGTACATATTCAGGGTTATCCTGGACCCTGACTGATGTGATTTGTGTACAGATTCAGGGTTATCCTGGACACTGACCAATGTGATTTGTGTACATATTCAGGGTTAGCCTGGACACTGACCAATGTGATTTGTGTACATATTCAGGGTTATCCTGGACACTGACCAATGTGATTTGTGTACATATTCAGGGTTATCCTGGACACTGACCAATGTGATTTGTGTACATATTCAGGGTTAGCCTGGATACTGACCAATGTGATTTGTGTGTACATATTCAGGGTTATCCTGAACACTGACCAATGTGATTTGTGTACATATTCAGGGTTATCCTGGACACTGACCAATGTGATTTGTGTACATATTCAGGGTTATCCTGGACACTGACCAATGTGATTTGTGTACATATTCAGGGTTATCCTGGACACTGACCAATGTGGTTTGTGTAAATATTAAGGGTTATCCTGTACACTGACCTTTGTATTTTTCAGTATAAGCATGTCTGTCTTGTTGTTACGGATGAGGAACTGGAGATGGAGGTTGATCGTCACGTCCCCAGACAAGATATTCTTAAGTTTCATCATGTTGTCTTGTACCTTTACTTCAGCCTCACTCTGAAATGACCAAAACAAGCATGGAAATGTATTGCAATTTCATTTTTTTTAATAGACAAATGAGTTTCAAATCTTCCTTTATTTTGGGCAAAAATAGTGATTTCTTCTCTGCATCATACAGATCATTTATTCCAGTTCATACAAGTGAGCATCAATAGTCTCTATACAGTTTTGTATAAGTTAAATGGTACTTTGTGGCTCAGTTCTGTCAAAACTGATAGCAATTTAAGTACGACAGTATACACAGTTAGGGCCTTTGTCTATAGTATACACAGTTAGGGCCTTTGTCTATAGTATACACAGTTAGGGCCTGTGTCTGAAGTATACACAGTTAGGGATGTTGTCTATAGTATACACAGTTAGGGCTGTTGTCTATAGTATACACAGTTAGGGCCTGTGTCTGAAGTATACACAGTTAGGGCCTGTGTCTGAAGTATATATTCAGATGTCCGTTTATTGAACTTTTATTAGTCAAATTTCTCGATGTGTTAAAACTTATGACATTCCACTTAGGAATCAAATTTTTCTTAATCAAATTTTTCGCTGTTTCGAACTTAAACCAATGTCCAGTCGTTAGGAAAACTTTAACAAGAGGCCCATGGGCCTTAACGGTCACCTGATATATTTATACAGAGAGTTGATTTTGTTTTTAACATGAACAGAAATATTATTCAAAGTGACAAAAAACAATAAAACCACCTTACTCAATATCTAGCATACAGATTTCAGACTAAAAAGGATTT